CCATCCCGTCCCTCCTCGCCATCCCCCGCGCCGCGCCACGCCGCGCACAGAGGCAGAAGCTTCGCCGTGAAGAAGTGGCACCCGTGGCACGACACCGCAAGTAGCGTGCGGCCGCGTTTGCCTCGCGTGGATCGTGCGTTGCGCCACGGCAGGCCACGCCACGCGGCGCGGCGCGCTGCTCAGTTGAGTGTGAAGAAGGCGAATTGCCCCGAGAGGGCAGGCGGCCGCACGGGACGTTGGAAAGCGAGTGGGAGGGGCTGGCGCCGGCGCTCGTAAACTTCTTTCCCTCGCTCGAGTGCGCTGAGGAATGGCACTCGCTGCGTATCCACGCCGCCTCGGCAGTTAAGGCCCATTCGCAATAAAAGCTTAAACATAAGTATGGCGCTAACATAAAAGTTAGGACTACCTCCATAAGCGGATTCATTCACAATGCGTTCGCATAAGCATAACACGTTAACTTAAAAGCTTGCAAGCTTCAAGCTTTTGTGCTTATGCTTAAGTAAGACATAAAAAATGAACCAATCACAGTACTATAACTCAAAATCGAGTACCGAAGTCGATAGACTAACTAACGCCATATGACCCACGGACACAGACGATACCTCCAAATCGATCCTTACATCTAACCAATAATAAACTAGAATGTCTCAAAGCCAATAGAAACTCTTATTTTGCTTACGTTTATGTTAGACATTGTGAATATTTCAGTGTATCACTTATGTTTATGTTTACGTCGTGCGTTTTGCTTACGTTTGCATTGTGAATGGGCCTTTAATGCTGTTCGGTGCTGCCGCCGCGTTGCTATCGAATGTTACACCTTACCAAAGGCGGCTCCCCACACATTCGGCATTCGCCGAGCAGCGAGCTACTGCTCGCCCAATACCGAACAGCTGATGGGTTCGGCGAATGTTCGCTATCTTTGATGGGTCCCAAAAACCGACACACGGTGGGTGTAGGCAGCACCGAATGTTCGTCACTCGACAAATAGCAACTCATCCACACTACTCGGGAATCAGCGAACTGTCGCCGGATAACGAATGTGTGGAGCCGCCGTAGTGGCTATCGGTCTTCAGATACTGTCAACCATCGGGTACCTGCTGAGATGGTTCAGGGTAACATTTGTTGCCTCTGCAGCGTCTCTGACCGGGAAGCCCGAGGGTTCGAGTCCTGATGGGGGCGTATTTTCGGCACTAGCTAAATAACTAGTTCGAAATCAGCTCCGGTATGGATGAGATATATAGCGGTAGGGTTCCCCTGATCGGTTTTCCGTGTTTTTTTCCGATCAACACCAGACGAATGCCGAAATAGTACCTTAACAAACATACCACGGACCGCGCGTGATCTTTCCTTCCTCACCCTTGCCCCCTCGTCCTCCATCTTACACACACACACACACACACACACACACACACACACACACACACACACACACACACACACACACACTTTACATTACCAGACATGTCGGGTGCTTAGAGTTGGTTCATGCTGGGGTGCTGCCAGACTGGCAGAGGTACCTGGAGGGGAGAAACCACGAAGCCGATGAGTAGGCCAACGCTTGATCAGCGAGAGCAGGAATCACCACTCCTCTGGCTATGACATGCATGACTCCTACCGAACCATATACCATAAGGACTATGTACAGTTGACAAATCCGGAAACAGAACATAATTTATGAATTATCGATTCTTTCAGTTCTGAAAGTTTCTGGAACCTTGTTGTTCTGAAGACAAATGTACAAATCCCGCCTTATTTGGAAACTACCCCCATTTGTAAAAATTTATTTATGCTGGGTATTTCTCTTTTTAATTCCTTGAAACCCGATCGGGGTCGCCAAGGAAGACATCAATAACAATGGCAGGAACCTATCCAAAAATTACATTAGTTCTTTTAATTAAGAAAAGACACACTCTGTGTACCTTTCCAATCAGTTCTTTTCTTCCTTTAATTAATATTCTAAATAGTTCTTACCCATTTCCTTTCTACAGATATCTTAATTTTGAATCTCTGTTGCCTAGGGACAAGAATAAGAAATATTATTCAACCCCCCCCCCTCGTGTCTCTTCTCTACATTAATTGACAGTCACCATTCCTATTGCTACTACAAGATATTAGTGAGAATACCATTTTCACACCGAACCAAATTGGCATTCTGCAGTCCTAAATAAGATTCAAACAATCTATTTTATTTTTTATTTGACGTCAAAAAAAGTTTAAGATGTGTGACATTCTGCAGAACAGAAGTGCAAATTTTAGACGGCATATGGGTCGTACATGCACAGATCATGCTTTGACTGAGCGTCCATCTTTGCAGACGAACCGCATGACCTCGTGGATAGACGGCAGCTTCATCTACAGCACGAGCGAGGCGTGGGTGAGCGCCATGCGCAGCTTCCAGAACGGAACCTTCCTGACGGACGACGAGGACGCGGACATGCCCATCCGCAACACCATGCGCGTGCCGCTCTTCAACTCGCCCGTGCCTCACGTACTGCGCATGCTCAGTCCCGAGCGGCTCTTCTGTAAGTAATCCGTCACACCTGTTTGTTTTTAATTTTTTTTTTATTTTGTGCTCTGTGCACTGTTATATTGATTTAACGGACCAAAGATAAGAGGAACAAAAAGTCACTCTTAACGGTAGGCGTCCGTTAGAGATTTAACGGCCTGTCTTCCATCGAAACAAATGTGTTTTAGTTAAAACGCATGAATGTACTATTTACACGATATGTCATTTCTTGAGAATTTTCTCTACAAGATGGTGTTTCGAGTATTGAGCGACACACGGTTAATAACACAAATATTAGCTTCGCTTGGTTATAAGCCTTGGCTGTCGCCTGGGTTTGCACCTTGAACCTCGTCTGTTATTTTCTTTTTTCCATTGGTAATACCATGAGTGCTTTGGAATTTTTTTGATAAATTCCTGACTTGCGAAGCGAGAAGGGGATTTATACGAGAATTTCCAAAGCACGAGTGGTATTTAATAGGACTATTCCACGAATGAAATTACGTATAACACACTTCCAAAATACGCAAATATTGAAAATAACTGAAAGCTTTTATTGTAAGTCTAGGAGGTTGTGTTATAGTATATAAGCCTTTTATTGCCCATCAACACAGCGAACGATACTTGCGGCATCCTAAGATAGATGAGTCGTTATTGGGCAGTAGGGAGGGGTAGTAAGAAAAATCGTATAGAAAAAGCGATAAATTTTTTGAGATACACCACCCTGATGGGGGGATTTTATATTTATAGTTAAACACAATTGGTTTTAATTTCACGAGTGAAATAGTCTGCTTAATGTTACTAATAACTACCAGAAATCAATAACAATATACAATTTAATAACAGCGTGTGTTTCCGGGCTGGCAAGTCGTGGTCCAGATGGCATTGAAGGGCCAAACGTTTCGTCCACTACAACGGTGGACATCTTCAGTGACGGCAGGCTCTCGGACGCAATAACTGTTATTGACTCCGGCCCTGAAAGCCTATGATAGTTTACAATTTGCCCACACATTGAAAAAATACACAGGATTTTTAAAGGGCTTAGTAAATTTGAAATTAGAATGATACGACTCTGAAAAGAAACTGAAATTGATCTTGAAGAAAATGTACACAAATCAATATCTGTAAAGTGTATTATATAAACATTTCAGTGTAAGATTCGAGGGACGTTGGAGATATATATATATATATATATATATATATATATATATATATATATATATATATATATATATATATCCAAGACGTTCAGGACAGTTGCTTATTGACTTCCACCAGGTTCCGTAAGATGCCGCCTGTGACATAGGCGGCCACTTCAAATCTCGGAATTCATCCGACACAATACAATCTAACTGCTTACATTAGCAAACATCCCCGTGCAATAACTTGTTCTGTTAAGCGCCATCTGCCAGCAGAATGGAAATGTCTATTAGTGGCTTGAAAACGGATGTCAGTTATGTTATAGAGTTATGGAAAACGGAATCTCACGAAGTTGTGTGTAGAACACGGTACCTCATGTTTTGTAAAGAAGTATTTTTCAAGCTCTTTCAAAGGAAACAATTCTCATTTAGAGCCCAATGTCAGTAATCATGACTTTTTCTCATTGACAAAAGTATCTTCAAAACATTATTAAAATATTGTATTGTTTAACTTTACAATTTTTAATTTGATGACAATTGAATATGGGAAAAGTTATTTAAATCAGGGTCAATCGTGAAAGTTACCACTGATCAGTGATTAAAAAGAAAGTGTAGGCATAATGATCTGTATGAACATTTTTTTGGTCTGATAAAAATTTTAATCCATTTTATACGTAGTGATAATAATACTTTCCAGTTAATCAATGTTTGAAAATCACTATATCATTTCATGTTGAAAAATGTTAATGCATTTTTATTTTATTTATTTATTAAAATGTGATTACATCTAATTGAGTTGTTCTCAATGCAATTTCTTTCCTACAGTATTGGGTGATCCCCGTACAAATCAGAATCCAGCCCTCTTAGCCTTTGGAATCCTGTTTTTCCGATGGCATAATGTGGTGGCTGGAAGAGTACAAGCAATGCATCCAGACTGGCCTGATGAAGAAGTATTTCAGAGAGCCAGAAGAATAGTCATTGCAACTCTCCAGGTTTGTCTTTTAGTATGTTTCACTAAACAGAGATCTGAATTTCAGCATTGTTATAAGATGGAAACACTAATAATTAATAACTTGTTTCCATGCATTTTTGTTAAAATTCAACTTGGCTCAAAAGTGTGACCAGCTAGATAGTAATTCTAGAGTATAATTTGTGGACATTATTTCTAGAATAATATTTCTACTTCCAATTCCAGAATGTAATTGCTTATGAATATCTACCTGCCTTCCTTGGAGAGGAATTGCCTGCATACACTGGTTACAAGTCTGATGTTCATCCTGGAGTGAGTCATGTTTTTCAAAGTGCTGCTTTCCGATTTGGTCATACCCTAATTCCTCCTGGACTTTACAGAAGAAATAATCAGTGTCAATTTCGGGATACTGATAAAGGTTTCAGAGCTATTCGTTTATGTTCCACTTGGTGGGATTCTAATGTAAGTTCACGAGTATGAGACAAAAACTATTGAACTTGCATACTAATTTGGTTTATTTACAAACGCTTATGTTTATTTTATTTTAGGATGTCCTTGCCAATAGCTCTGTTGATGAGCTTCTGATGGGAATGGCATCACAAATTGCTGAGCGGGAAGATACAGTACTTTGTTCTGATGTGAGAGATAAATTGTTTGGTCCTATGGAATTTTCAAGAAGAGATCTGGGAGCTTTAAATATAATGCGTGGAAGAGATAATGGATTGCCCGATTACAATACAGTCAGGTAATTTATTTTTTCATAACAAGAGCACCAGATTCTATTGCACACTTACTGTTGTTCAATTAATTGATTATGCATTTTCAGAACTTATTTCCGCTTGCCTCGTATAAAAGAATGGAGTGACATAAATCCAAAACTATTCGCAGAACGACCTGAATTAGTTAGAAATTTGGCTGCAGCTTATAACAATCGTCTAGATAATGTGGATGTTTATATTGGAGGCATGTTGGAATCCAGAGATGGCCCTGGAGAATTATTTACAGCAATAATTAAAGAACAGTTCTCTCGCATCAGAGATGCTGATCGTTTCTGGTTTGAGAATGCTGAGAATGGGTTAGTTTTGTTATTTCTCCATTTAGCAAGTTATTCACTCTATAATTTGTTGATAAATGATTTTCTTATTGTTAATTATTTTTCCTCCACAGAATATTTTCTGAAAAGGAAATAGCAGATTTACGAAAAATAACATTGTGGGATATCATTGTCAATAGTACACATATTCGACCAAAAGCCATTCAGAAGCATGTCTTTTTCTGGATGAAAGGCGATCCTTGCCCCCAGCCTTTACAGTTGAACACAAGCCTTCTTGAACCTTGCATGTATCTCAAAGGTTATGATTACTTTGAGGTAAAAATGATGGCATGACTTATTTTTTGACTTGTGAACACATTTAATAACTTTTAGTATTTTAGCAACTTAAAAACAATCATTTATTAATTATTTCAGGGAAGTGAATTGGCATTTATTTACGCATGCATTTTCCTTGGTTTTGTACCAATTATTTGTGCTGGAGCAGCTTATGGTGTAGTTAAACTACAAAATCGCCGTAGAAGGCAGCTTCGTATGAAACAGGAAGAATTGAAATCTAACAACACTGCTAAAATATCAGTTGACAAAATGATGGTGCGAGAGTGGCTTCATGCAAACCATCGCAGACTTGTGAAAGTTAAATTTGGTCCAGAGGCTGCATTGCATACAGTAGACCGTAAAGGAGAGAAACTCAGAACAGTAAATTTCAAAGGATGTGATGCATTGACAATTGAAGAATCACAGGTAATAATACATTAAACACTTTAATGGCTGTTTCTGCAAACTTTGAATAATTTTGGTACATAATCTACTATACTTTATTTCTTGTTTTCTTCTAAACCAGGGTTGTCCAACTGGTGGCTCAAAGTACTATTTATTGTGGTTTGCAAAAGATCATAAGTAAATGTCCCTTGCGGGCAAGAATATTGCATTCCTAGCGCATATGCCCTATCATGGTCCATACCCTCTTAATGTAAAAATACGATAAGTTTAGTTTTAAGATTTTTTCTAGAAAATTCCAAATCATCCCAATGTGTTGTGTTATGTATGGTAGGGCCTGATATTACACATGGTACCATTTCCCGCCCATTGCAGGGCAGCTGGGGAAACTGCCAAGATCAAGAATACAGGGAAGTCAGGTGTGAATGGATCAGTTACTGTAAATATGGCCCGCAACCATATTAAACGTTTTAGTTGTGGCCCTTGAGGCCCTTGAGGCATGTTGGACACCCGTTCTAAACATTCCAGTTTTAATACTTCTTGTGCACTGAAAATCTACTTATACATAAGTAAATGAGAGAGCTTAACAAAAGTTCTTAATAATATTGACTTATGACTATCAGTATGTCATTATCTTTTCAGTTATTTTCAATTTTTTAATTTTTATTTCAGCCTGATGGTAGCAGAGCAAGCAGAAAGAGGCCCGTTGTACTAATAAGAGCACCAAGAGATCACGATTTAGTGCTCGAATTTGATACAATGGGTTCCCGAAGGAAATTCGTCACAAAGTTGGAAACTTTCTTAACCTCGCATAAAAAGAGATTATTGTCGGTTCCTGCCTTGCGTGAAGTTATGTTAACTAATGCAGAAACTCGAGAACGTCGACAAAAACGTTTGGAACACTTTTTCCGAGAAGCTTACGCTCTCACATTTGGTCTAAAGCCGGGAGAAAAACGGAGACGACTTCGGGATAGGGATGCTGCATCTGATGATGATGCTGTAATGCGTACTTCACTCTCTAAAAGTGAATTTGCAAATGCTCTGGGTATGAAGTCGGATGATGTCTTTGTTCGCAAGATGTTTAATATTGTTGACAAGGATGGTGATGGCCGTATTTCTTTCCAGGTAGGATGCCCAACAAAAATGTGTTAAGATAGTCATGATAAGTTATCCTCTAATGTAAAAAAAATCCTGTAAATATTTTTGTGTTTCTTGTCACTAATTCAAAATTATTCATTTTAAAGTTAAGAGTTCATAAATATCTGAATTTGTTCCAGGAATTTCTTGACACTGTTGTATTGTTTTCGAGAGGAAAAACTGAAGATAAATTGCGCATAATATTTGATATGTGTGACAATGATCGCAATGGTGTCATAGATAAAGGAGAACTATCAGAAATGCTCCGATCTTTGGTTGAAATTGCTCGTACTACCAGTCTTTCTGATGAACATGTCACAGAACTTATTGATGGAATGTTTTCGGATGCTGGTCTTGAACATAAAGATTTTCTAACTTATGGTGATTTCAAGTTAATGATGAAAGAGTACAAAGGAGATTTTGTAGCAATTGGACTTGATTGTAAAGGTGCTAAACAAAATTTCTTGGACACATCCACTAATGTTGCTAGGTATTCTCATTTTAAATGGCAATATTGTGATTATCAGCGACACTTGTTTTTTTTCTTCCCACATTTAACAATTTATTTCTATTTTTAGAATGACGAGCTTTCATATTGAACCACCATCTGATCATGGAAGACATTGGTTGCAAAAGAAATGGGATTGTATAACAACGTTCTTGGAAGAAAATCGTCAGAATATTTTCTATTTATTTGTATTCTATGTCATTACCATTGCCTTGTTTGTTGAAAGATTCATTCGTAAGTTTATCAGCACAGTGCATTATTACTGTAATTACAGCATTGACAAACGTATTACATGGTGTATTATAATTTCATTTTAATGTGTCATTTCCAGATTACTCTTTTATGGCTGAGCACACTGATTTAAGACACATAATGGGTGTTGGTATAGCTATCACTAGAGGATCGGCTGCATCACTGAGCTTCTGCTACAGTTTACTTCTTCTAACTATGTCACGTAATCTTCTTACAAAGCTCAAAGAATTCTCAGTCCAGCAGTACATTCCATTGGATGCTCATATTCAATTTCACAAGATAGCAGCATGTACAGCACTATTCTTTTCACTCTTGCATACTGTTGGACATATTGTAAATTTCTACCATGTATCTACACAACCTGTGGAACACCTTCGATGCCTCACTAGTGAAGTGCACTTTCCATCTGATTATAAACCTGGAATAACCTTTTGGCTCTTTCAAACTATCACAGGTAAAATTTATTTCCTAGAAAGAAAGATTACTAATATAATTACAAACATTTTTTGACAGATGAAACTTTATTTTATTTAATTATACTTTTTGATTACAGGTTTAACTGGTGTATTGTTGTTTATTGTTATGGTAATAATTTTCGTTTTTGCTCACCCCACCATTCGAAAAAAAGCCTACAAATTTTTCTGGTCGGCCCACAGCCTGTACATTGTATTATACATTCTGTGTTTAATCCATGGTCTAGCTAGATTGACAGGTGCTCCTCGTTTCTGGCTGTTCTTCATTGGCCCTGGAATTGTTTATGCTCTTGATAAAGTAAGTTGACGGCATTTCTATTGTTATGAGATCACTTAGGGGTATCACCTTCACCTGAGTTGGCTTAATGAATATAATAATATTTAAAGACAGCAAAGAACTGATTTAACTCTGTTAATGAAATTTTTACAGGTAGTGAGTCTTCGTACAAAATACATGGCATTAGATGTAATAGAGACCGAGCTTCTACCTTCTGATGTAATAAAACTAAAGTTTTATCGGCCTCCTAATTTTAAGTACCTATCTGGGCAATGGGTTCGCTTGTCATGTACAGCCTTCCGGCCAGAAGAATACCATTCATTCACACTTACTTCTGCTCCTCATGAAAATTTCCTGTCTTGTCATATAAAAGCTCAAGGTCCATGGACCTGGAAATTGCGAAATTACTTTGATCCTTGCAACTACAATCCTGAAGAGGATCACCCAAAGGTATATCTTTGGGCGTATTTCTCATTTTGTTAACATCCTTTTAAAAGATAATATGTTGGAATTAATTAATGTAAACATTATAGATTCGTCTCGAAGGCCCATTCGGTGGTGGAAATCAAGATTGGTATAAATTTGAAGTAGCTGTGATGGTAGGAGGAGGTATTGGTGTTACTCCTTATGCATCAATTCTTAATGATTTAGTTTTTGGAACCTCAACCAATCGGTACTCAGGAGTTGCATGTAAAAAGGTAAAGGAAAAAAAAAAAAAAAAAAAAAGATTTATTTGTTGAAATTAAGGTATATATTACAGGAATTATTATTTTAAACATCATTTCAGGTATACTTTCTTTGGATATGCCCATCACATCGCCATTTTGAATGGTTCATAGATGTTTTAAGAGATGTGGAGAAAAAAGATGTTACTAACGTCTTGGAAATCCATATATTCATTACACAATTCTTCCATAAATTTGATCTTCGTACAACTATGTTGGTGAGTCCACAGAGAAACTGAGATGATAAACTGAAGGAAAATTTGTTTAAATTGTATTTTTTTAATGACACATTGCATAATGTTATTTACATTACTAATGGTTAAAAATACATAAGATTTTTTAAAGTACCGATTTAGTTCTATGTTTTGTTTATATTGTTGATTTATTTAGATTATTTATTTATATTGTTTTGTTCAAATTTTCTATTACAGTATATATGTGAAAATCACTTTCAACGATTGTCAAAAATGAGCATGTTTACTGGCCTGAAAGCTGTGAACCATTTTGGTCGCCCTGATATGTCATCGTTTTTGAAATTTGTACAGAAGAAACATAGTTATGTAAGTATTGAAAGTACTCAGTTGTATCTAATCTAAGACATAAAAATCAATGTTTGTTCGTTTATTTGTTTGCAATGTTGCCATTGCCACACTGTTTATCAGATTGCAATAAAACTTTGTCAACTTATTGCTTGGACTTGCCAAAAAATATAGACTAAGTACATAGGGAATATAGATGCAAAATGGGGGGTGGGTGTTGATGATGATTTTATGCATCTATGCTGCCTCGTGCATCCCTGAACAGAAGCTATATGCCCAACCCGCCACACCCTCAAGTATTAAGCGTGTCTTCACTGCATATTCTGCCCATGCAATTGTGAAGTATTGGACGGAATTATTACTTAAACATTATCTGAGACAAGTAAATCAAATTTCTCCAAGTCAGTGTCAAGAAAATGCATGCCCAAACTTGAGGGAGAATGTTTTAACAATAAAATACTTGACAATCCAAATCAGGAGCTAGAACAATCACATACTCATGAGAGTCTTTTATTTATTAAAATTTTTGCAGTATAGCGTAAAATGTGATAAGCAACCACGTGACCAGTAACATGTGAAGTGTAATACATTGCAATAGCGAAGCATTGCTGGATCCACTAGTCTAATATAACTACATTTGAAATAGCAATTCTTTCACCTGGAAAAAATATTCTTCTAATAATAATTTAATACAATCGTCTACTGTTTGAGCAATGTGTGTGAACATCTTGTGAAATTTCACATTTTGGAAAATATTTTTTCTAATTCATTTCATATGAGTGAACTGTCAATTTGTATGAGAAGAAATAATCAACATTTAAAAATCTTTACATGAATTTCTTCAATATGTACAATAATCTTTTCAATTATCTTTTTATAGGTGAGCAAAATAGGTGTGTTCAGTTGTGGGCCCAGACCACTAACTAAAAGTATAATGTCAGCCTGTGAAGAAGTAAATAAAGGGCGAAAACTACCTTACTTCATCCATCACTTTGAAAATTTTGGCTAATCCACTGTAAATACTTAGAAAAATTTTATTTCACTGTGAATAGTCAATTCTCTGAACGTTCATTTCTTTTAGTGGAAAATTTTTCAACTGTAATAGTTTTCATGCAGTTCTGATCTGCAAGAAAATAACATTGAACAATGAATTCCAATGTTTTGTGAAATATTGTACAAATAACAAACATTTTAAAAGAAGAGTTCACAATGCATTTGAGATGATTATACTTCATTTATACTTTGTCAGAACAACTATTTCCAAGCTGCAGAAGAGCTACTAATTGAAAGTGAATAGTTCCCAATATACTCATATTGGCAAAAATATGAGTAACAATTGCAATTTATTGAAGACAAAAGTGCAAGCATACGAGTGAAAATTCAAGATGGCTTGAAAGTTAAAAAAATTCTGTGGAATTACCAAATGATGAAAATGATTAAAGTTGAATTTTTTATGTATATGTAACAATAACTGTGATAAGTGTCCAAAAGACCAAATTATAGATCTAGATCAATTTTCAAAGAACTTTTAGTTCAGGCAGGGGTCTCTGTATTGTCTCAATACCAGACAAAAAGAGATATTCTTAGATAGTAAAGTATTGCCATGATGATTCAGAGTTAAGCTTTAAAATATGTGGTTTAAAAATGATTGTAATTGCAATGAATTCCTTCTAAGGCAAACAAAATTGTGTTATCTCATTGAGTCGATTACGACAATGAGGTCAGAGAATGCAGTGTTACAACAGTAACACCTATATAAATTTCAGCAATTTAAAGCAACTTTTGTTGTAAAGAAGTTGCATTGCAAAAGCATTCTCAGAAACTATTCTTGTAAGTTAACTTATTTATTGTGTCGTGATTGAGTCAGACTTGTGTATAAAAGGATCCATTAACACATGGTCCAAAATATTGTAAATATGGTGATTGTTTTGTAAAGATATTTTGTATTATGTACTGAATAAATAAGTGCCACATCACATGTGACATAAATTGAATATTTAGGTTTCTCTATTTTTCTCTACAATGATTGAAATTCCACTTCTTACCAGGTGTAAAAGCTGTCAAGCAAATTGTTCTGTTTTTTCAGTCTCTTTTTAACTGAACAGCATAGGATTTTGTTAATTTAAAGCAAATGAACGATAAAGAGTATGTTTCAATTAGATATGCAAGTCTTGTTTTTCACAGGATATTGTCACAAAATGAAATGCATTTGCACACAATGGATTTTGCATCAAAGATAGTCTAATTTGTTTCTCAAATAGCCTCCTATGGAGTCTAATTGCCATCATGCAGAGTACTCTAAGAAATCATATTGACCATCTCCTTAGGTAAAACAATGTCATTTTCAAGTTAACATAAAAGAAAAAATAGGGGTGGTAAAGCTTGCACCCGCACTTGTGCAATACTTAAAAAAAAATTAAACCATAATTTTGTGCTAATTAGAGACATCAAAAACAATTTTTAAACCACAACACTCAAAACAAAGATATCCACAATGAGCTGAGAAACCCTTTACTGAAAACTCTCAGATTTGTATATCATTGAAATAAAGCCAATTTGAGCTATTTAAAGACAATTTTTAAAGTTTCCCCAACACAAAAAAAAATTATCATTTTCTATGCAAATTTTTGTTTTGTTGTAGAAGTAGTCCACAGTGCTGAACACTATGGAATAATGCTTTTTAATCCTCCTATAAATTTTAAACTTCAAAACAAAAATTAGGCGATTTATACTTTGTCAAGCACTTAAATATATGACAGTATATTAAAATAAGTTTGTGCTTAATCGAATCAATTCAGAAATTCTTAATAAATAAAGTCATACATTGTTATTTTATCATGCTGTACAATTTTTACATTTTAAAATAAACAGATTGACAACAATTAAAAAATTAATATATGCACATACATACATTAAGAGTAAATCGCAAGGCTGCAGCATGTGGGTGTCAGAACTGCGACTGCCGACCATGTGACACTCAGTTTGCCTCAATTAGAGAAATTCATTCAAAACATGTGGTAGGGATTTTGGTTGATTAAATATCACAGAAGAACTTGTATAAAAAAGACTGTCCCAATTATATCAAGGTGAATTAATAACATTTGATTGTGAAAAAAGCTGGAAGGGGAAATGTGAACATTTAGGTTGTCTCAACAGAAAATGTAAGAACAGACAGTAAATGAACTACCGTATGGAAATAAATGAAATGTAAATACAAGAAAAAGCCTGTTAGCACTTATTACCGTAAAAATAAACAGTATTCTAAGTCTCCTGAAATATTCTTGGGAAGATGTGTGGGGTTTCTCAATTCCACGGCTTGTTTGTGAAACAGCCATGGAATTGAGAAACCTCACAAGTCTTCCCAAGAATATTTCAGAACTAGTAAGAGTCCAAAAAGTTTTTGTTTTTTAAAATGAAATACTGAATTAATTTATCAAAAGTTTTCATTTCCTTTAATTATTTATTTGATGATCTTCAGTCAAAGCAACAAATTTTCATCATCTGCAATGCATTTGTCTCCTTCATTTCAAAACACTGCCCAGTGGTTCACTAGTCGGTCACCCCTTCTCCTTTCCTAGAACATTTTCATAATAAATATAAAACACTGTGAGATGCAGTGCTGAGTCTAGATTCTGAGACCTGCCCAACCAAAATGTATAGTTGTCCAAAAATACAGTAAGAAACAGACTTCGTTTGTGTAAATATGTTCATTCATAGATATCAAATGAAAATCAAATAGGTTCGTCCATGAATTTCTTTTATTGCATAAATATAAATAGCATCCAAAGAATGCATTTCCCATTCAATCCAACATCAATGATTTACAATCTTTTTTATTATTATTTTTTCTTTTTTTGATAAAAAATGTTGCAGATATAATATTATTAGAAAGTATAGCAGTTCCAATACAATTTCCAATAATTAAGTCTAGCACCATTAAGATGGATTTCAAATTAATCATTCAATTTGAACTGAGAATATTCAGAAATGGAACTTAAAATTTTTAATACTGAAATACAAACAACAATAATTTAACAAACCCTATTGACCAGAAATAAGAAGAAGGGAAAACTTATTACCAATAGCCTATTTGTCACATTCCTTCAAACAAATAGACCTAAAGACTAAAGAAATAAATATGATTCTCCTCTGCTTACATAAATCGTATAGAAATATTTTCCTTGCATTAAGATATGGATAACATAACACTACATTACTTCTTTATAGGGTTGAAAACAAACAATACTAGATTACTAATATGTTTCATTTATCATTTCAATTGAGCAGAAACATTACAATAGTATTTATTATTCAGAGAGATATGTATTTGAAAACCCACTCTCTTTCTTGAAATTTTTCAGCCGTTTTTATGTTATTTTGCTACATTGCTTGTTTCTGGTATGTTTCACAAAGTTCATGTTGAGAAGAAAATATTTATTGTACATTTGCCATTTGTGTTAAATCTTTGTTCTATTTATCTTCTTATGGAATTGGTGCCACATTTGTTAATTAAACTCTTCTATTTTACCAGACAACACATATGATACCTGTGTTACCATGGAAAAGCTCATCCATTAAACAACAAATATTTCAATCGTCCTTCTTGGAAGTTAATTATTAATCAGTGGGCTGACATTGAAATCTTCACAGAAATATCTTGTAAAATTTACTATTGTTAGTGAGAGTAAATAATAGTTTTATTAAATAACCCATATATTATCTTTGTGGTTGCTTAAGGGATAATACACACAATGGCATAGTGGCAAATGTGAGTTTCCATTTAAAAAGCATCTAAATCTCAATTGTAAAGTATTGAATGTGTGACCTGTGACAATGATACCAAAAGTTTCCTTTCAACAGTTTACAAGAAATATATAATGAGTCCTTATTCAATTGTTGAGGAAAAGTGTCATTTATAATTTTTATTGAGATTACACTTTGAGATCATTGTATCATTGTTGTCTATCTACACCGTCATCATCATTATCATCATTATCAAACACTGCAGGTTGAAAGGTCTGAGGCCTGTTCCTGGTTAAGAAATAGGCTTGAAATGAATGTTATTAATATTCCAGGAGTTCCTGCATGGTTGATTTCTTTCTTGGTTTTCCTATACCTCTTTCATCTATATCTATATAGTACCAGTTAAAACAACAGTAAAGTATTGAACATAAATGATATTAATAATTGTGCATAACTTAAACAATTAGTTTCTCTAAATTCCAAACCAACAATTATAACACTCTACTGAGGAATACTTCTGAGAATCTCTCTTGATCAGTTATGCCAAACTCAGAAGTTTGCTTTCCCCGAACTTGGTTTTCTGTTACTACTGTTTCAGGCATATATACACTAGAGCAGGCAGATAAAAATATTTTTGAAAAAGAGGTTTAGAACATTCATAGTGCTAAACCCTCAATATATGTATTTCTGTCAATGTCAGTATTACATTTCTGCACAAGTGTAAAAAGTTTACATACCAAGAAAATTAAACTGTTGCTTTTCCATTGTGTAACACGTAAATAGCAAAGATTCAATGGTGGATGCCGCCCTCTTCCTCGAAGACTTGCAGTTGCATGACATCAGTTGTGTCATAAGCAATGATGCATTGTGTTTGAGAATTCAGTCGGTAGGCATAGCATGAGAATAGGTGAATAATACAATGAAATATTTGCATTTTCAAACAAATTCCAAGTCCCTGGGTATTTAACAAACCTATTCACACTTCTTACACAGCCATAGACTACTTGGTTTTCTTTCAATTTCTGTACACATTGGAAATTAGTAATATAAATTTATTAATAAATATCTTACATTTTTCTTTACAAAAAATCAATCTTAAACAATGCTGTTAGAAGCTTCATTCCCATTTTCTCATGAAGGTGTAAAAGCTCTAAATTATTCCTTTAAATGTTATTAATCCAAAAAACATGATATAACTTCTTAATATTTCAGTACATTTGGACATGGGTTTTCTGAAGTTTCACATATGTAAATAAATTACAATACAGATATAAAATATGTTCCCAAATTTTCTCTCAGAAACTTCAATTCAAATTTAATATACATTTGGATGGTTGGATTAAAGGACAGGAACTCTCATTTCTGCTCATTTTTTAAACATTGGATTTAATTTTGATAAAAAGATTAAAAAGTAATGTAAGTGTTTAGAATCTAAACAAAGGAGAGTTCATATAAGTTCTTAGTCTTAATCCACAATTATAGATGAGGAATATTTCAAAGCAACAAATTTGATCCCTTATTCTATTATCACAAATCAATAAATGTCAATATATAAAAATCAGTTTCTTTTGCATAGATCACACTAAATTTCTATTTTTACACCTGATATCTACTTACATGCAATTACTTAGCAACATTTCTAACATCAAAAACTAACAGTCTTTATAACTGTATAAATATTTCATAAGGCCAAGAGAATATATCTATTGCTCTGGCAGGACGGCTTACAAAGTAAAAGAACACTGACTACCATTTTACTCACATACTTTCTCTACTACATATCATTTGCTTTAAGAAGCAATCTGTTAATAATTAATTTCTACAATATACTCTTAACAGGGGAAAAAAGTGACTAGAGGTTTGTTTTGCATGTAATAATATTCATTAACAGTGTGAAAGTGGAAAGTGTATTTGGAGGTAGAAATCTTGTACTAATGAACAGACCTGTTATTTGTGTTTTGGTCAACTCAATTCTCTCGAAATGTTTAAGAGACCATTATGTTATAAAGTAAATTGAAAATCCTTTTAAGAATTTGATTTTGAGTGTGTTAAAATTTAAGATTTTTCAAAATCTAGTTATAAATTCACTTTTCTCATAAAAATGATCTTGCTAGAATTCCAGATAAATCGCTTGGCATTAGCATCTGCTCACTGAATTTGTATCAAAAGGATATTTTCAAAGTGTGCTTAGTAATAGTCCAGGATATTTTTTTCTGCCTTGACTACGGAGATAGTTGATTATATTGCAACTCACTTATATTTGTGATGAGAGTGAAATAATGTTCAACATACCAGAACCAGATCTGGTTCAGGTTTCAGAGCCTGTGTGACTTTGGTCTGATCATGCCAAGCGCCAACAATGCATCTAACAGTAAGACTGCTTCACTAAGAGCATAGATAAGTACAGAAGTTGCTACGTAGAAAAAGCTGTTCAGAATGAAATTATGGGGTTTGTACTTATGTCTTGCTGCTGCTGAGTCTTATCACGAAGCCGGGCTTGCATTAGACTATGCTCTAAAACACCTAATCTCACATCCATAGCTGTAATCTCATTCTTGATTCGTGCAATTGCCTTTTTGATATTGACAACAGGTGCTGCAATAGAGATAAAAAATTATAAGCATATTTTACAATATTTTCTTGTTTCTTAGTATTCCCTCCCCCTCTTAAATGTAATCAAGTTCAGAATTTGTCATATTATTTCTCTTTGTTTGGCAGTGAAGATGTTTTATTGCACTGTAATAATGTTTTTAGTTTTTTCAACTGTTTTCAACAAAATTAATTGAAAAAACAAACAACAAATTTCAGTAATTTTTATTTATATCTTACAAGATTCTGGTGAATTTATAATGCTAAACTGCAAAAATTACAAATATCTTGTTGAATATTTAATCATTTTTAAATCTTGTCACATCAGAACCTAATATGTAAGAAAATAAAGCACATTTAAAAATTGTAAACCACATACTTACTGCCATCAGTCATACTAGAACCACGTTCTTCCATTTCTTGTTTCACAGACTCTAATTCTTCAGTAATATTGGCAAGACTTCTTGTACGTTCTGCCACACCCCCACTCACATCTTGATACTGTTCATTGAGACGAGACATTTCATCCTGTAATAAATTAATGAACAAATATTAAGCATTTTTACAAAGATTGTGCAAAAAATAAATTGATGTTAAAATAATGAATATTAAGCCGATCCGGTGGCCGAGATCGCTAAGGCAGTAGTGCCGTAGCGATCTCATACCGTAAGATCGTGGGTTCGAGTCCCGCCTCGGGCATGATTGTATTGTGTTCGTCCTTGCACCCCCTATCATCCATCATCCTCCATCTCTCATTATCACCTTTCGGAATAACATTCAGAATTGTAACTCGAGGATTTATCCTCACCTCAAGGAGAAAACCTTCAACAGTCGACCATGAACAGTAAAAAGTGAAGTGGAACGACTCAAGTGGTCCAATGTGGCCAATCAAGATAACAATAATAATAATAATGAATATTAATTTTAAATGGACATGACCTGCAATGTGGATTAGAACTATGCTAGTGTCTTCACAGCAATCAGACAATAAATGAAAAAAAGCACCCAATTTCAAACAAACAGTGCATGTGATAATGAAATACACATGAGAAATTTATCATTAAATATACTACACCAATATTTTGGCAGTCCTTGCCATTGAATATATTGGATTCTCAATTTCTTGGTACTAGAAGATCATGTGATATCCATAATAAATTCAAAGCAAAGCATATTGACAAGGAAAGGATACAGAATTTTCCCCTAAGTGCCCAGACATTAGAATCAACAATAAATAATAAGAAGAATAATTCAAATTATCTTCTAGGTTGAATTTACTTGCATAATCCCAAAAGAACTGCAAATGCATCGTAGTCATCATTCAACTACCTTTTTAATACAAGATTGATCAATGCATATCATATGTTCAAAGAGATGCATATAACTGAATACTATGTTGAATGAGACAATTAAATAATTGAATGAGACAGTTAAATAATGATAAAATACTGAAACTAGTCATGGTTAAATACAATTTAACATATATCAACTTACAAACCATCAGTATCTAAAAGACAAATTACACGAGCCAAAGTCCATATGATTTTTGCTTTGTGCACTTGCTGGTGTTGCTCAATCTGCAGCACACAAACAGTCGAGGAACTTTCCATGTGATGTTATTTAACTTGCTAAGCATTGAAAACCCTAAATAAAAAGCTTATTTTCTAAGGAATGTAGTGCAGTAAACCCTTCATGCTCCTATGTCAAGTGGTGGCTCTCTGCTCCAATGGCAACACATTCTTTGTTATTTTCTGAGCAATGGTATCATGCTAAGTTCAACAGGGTGGGCACAATTTGAAGTAAATGACATTGTGTCTTTCATGTTCATTATTATATAATTTCAGATTGTTAGAGTTCATTAGGATATTAATTGGTTAATGTGTTAATATAAACTAAATTGATGCCTTCCTTACCAAGTTACAATAGCACACAGACTCCAACTCTGAGGTTAGTGAGAAATGTAAGTTTAACTTCTGGCTCTTCCAGAATTTTTGTTATGAAGCCATCCAACAGAGAACATAGTGTAAAAAGTGCAATAGTCTATCATCGTTATTTTTGTCATTTCAGTTTGTTAGACAGTTTATTACACTTTTAACTAGTTAAAAAAGTGATGATATGAATCAAAAATTATTTTATTGTCCCTTCACCAAAATGCCTTTTTCTTTGTGCCCTAAACTTAGAAACCACCAATGAATTGCAAGTTTGTTGTGGGGGTGCCTTGGTGGGATTTAAATAATCTGGAACACAGCCTAAAGAATTAGGGCAAGGGGTTAAGCAGGTGTCTGACATTACCATTATCAGTGTTAAAAACACCAACTCTCAGTGACATGGAGCAACATCTCATTCTGTTGCCTTGTGGTCACACTGCACTGATTGCAGCATTTTACTCTATTTGCAGAAAATAGTATTTTTTAATATTTGAGATACAGCAATCTTTAGTTTCTATCAGAAAGAAACAATGACCAATCTTAAATTTAGTCTTCAACTACAATAACCACCATAACCAACATAACATTTTCACCATAACTCAACTTGCTTGTGCACTTGCTTTTTTAAATTAATATTCCATTAACTTATTCCAAATTAATGAACATTTGTTTGAACACAAGCAAATAAAAACAACTCTTACACTTATAAACAAAAATAATTTTAAGCAACCTTCAATTCTTTCTTCCTCGCATCATTAGAATAGAGGCCTCCAAACTATGGGACTATAATGTAGGACCAAACTATAGGATTCCAGCAAGAATGAGGATTCATCCAGTGCTTTCAAACCAAGGATGCTGAAGAGATTGGTTCAGGAAAGATTACAGTTGCAGGCATCAAGAAAAATAGGGCATGTTGTAAATTGAGGGAATACCCCTTCAAAAATTACTAACAATCATATGGAATCTTTTATTCAACATTAGTGATGACTATTGGACTGACTGATCTTCTGATCTTTAAAGATTTTTGGTTGAAATGCATTCTGATAACCCTAGAGATCATCAGCAGAATGAACAGTTTCAATCATTATGAGAAACATGCAATGTTTCAGAAGCCCCTATCTTGCTATAGAAAGGTTTCCAAAGTTCCTAATAAAACAGTTGTATAAAAATGAAGCTGGATTCAGTTCTACAAATAATGCTTTAAATTGATATCATTGTTCTTTAATGAATAAAACAATGTGAACATGTATACCTTACACACAAGCAAATTTCGTTAAATCTTTAATTTATGACCTATTTTAACAATTTCATCACTTTCTGTAATGACTCTTTTTAATTAATTTCATAAGTAAGGATATTACTCAAATGTCCTCTCCAAGCTGCAGTTGTGAAGATCTCTGATAAAAACCTGCCTTGAAAAGTTTGGAGACCTCTAATTTACAAGATTGGGCAGTTTGTTACAAATAAGTTAACATTGAATTAGGTGAGTATATAAGGGTTGTTTTTTGGTTTTTTGAGTGAGGGGGGTTGCTATAATATGCTTTGTTAATGCCAAAACATCAATCTATGCTTTACTTGGAATAACAAACCTGAAGAGATCGATACTGTACAAGCACAGGTTCCAGTTGGCTGTTTAAATATTTTTCACGACTTCCAATTTTCTCCAGAGTACGAGAAATTTCTGTATGTAATTTATCCAGCTGAACCTTTGTATTTGTTAGAGCTTCTTCAATGCCTGATCTATGATGCTGCATTTGTTCCAGATGGGATCGCCAATCTCTTGGATCTACAAAGATAATATTTTTGTGAAATTTTAAAAGATGAAAGTCAAATTTAAGCAATGTAAATAAAATGCTCATTTAGAAGAAATGTAAAACGGGGAGCTGTCTCATGCTGGGATGCCAGTGGAAATTTTAGTACTGTTTGAAGTTTTTTGTTCAGTAGTTCAACCAAGCGGAACTATTCAGTTGTGCTCCTCTGCAATGAAATTAAAGATTTACGTCTTAATTTCTTTAATGCTTCAAAAATATATCTAAGACTCATATGGATATTTATTGTTGATATTCACAGTTCCTAATTGCAGAATTTTCACAAGTTGTACACTTCATACAATATGCACCATTTCATATGGTAAATAAACATACGCAAATAAATAAAATGGAAAGGGAAAATTTATTTTTACGGAGAATGCTTTTTGTATTAGTCTCGTGAATATATACTTATTAGTATTCTCCTTCTGTAACAAAACGGAAAAATACAAGTCAGCACGCAGAAAAGCCTTAAAAGCAGTTACATCATTTAATTACTTGTGTATGTGTTCAAAAGAACAGTTTCTTTACTTATATCTTCCCTTCGAGCATAATAATCAATATCCAAAGTAACACTGCAACATGTGGAGACTGAACATTTTTTGTAACCAAAAGTTACAAAAAATTATATTTTATCCCATTCCTTCTACAAACATATACTACACAATTCAAATATTAAAGAGAAAAAAATCTAGGACAGTCATGAAATTAAAAAGTAGATAAAAATCATTGGTTTCACTGCACATTACTGCATTTTAGAATCAAAATTGAAAACATTTTATAAATCTTTCTTTAATGCACAGTATGAGTGTTTTATTTTTATTAGAAAGAAATGTGCATATTCTGCAGACATAGGAACCCTAATCTTCTTCTCTAACATATGATTTCTGATCTTCTTGGGAACAGTTATCCAAAATACTGTACAAAATCATGAAGGTAAATACAGAGACAAAGCTTAAACTAACACAGAAATAATTAACTTGATACCCAATTTTAGTAACAAAGGGAAAAGAGATTTCCAAAGGATATCAGCCCAGCGGTATGAACGGGATACTTCTTGCCTGACCTCCAGTGCAGTACAACAGCTCTTATTTCTCTCTTACTGAAGATGACAAGCTTAGTCGTGGTAATTCTCAAGTATTGGAGCCTCGGCCTATGCAATCGCAAGGGAAGCATTGATAAAGATGGGTTAATAGAGTCATTGTATGAGTGATTGTGAGCTGCTGTGACATTCTGTGCAATTACAGTGTGCAGTCACTTCAGAAGCAAAATAAGAGGATATGGATCGCTTCCATTAATGGCGCCCTAGTACAGAAGAAGGAAAAAAATCTAAAAAGAAGGAGAAGAGGAGGAGGAGGAAGTAGCTTCAGACTTTACTTGTTAAATCCCAACCACCTTCTTTGGGTTTGAGAAGCAAGTTTGTAGGTAAGTAAGAATCTTTTTTTCACTTCTTTTATCAGTGACTTGTAATTGTTTTTGAAATACTGAAGAACAAAAGGGGGGGGGGGAGAAGTGAAATTTAGACAGAAGAAAAAAAAGGTTATGTAAATAACTATTGAACTTTATAAACTTCCCATTTATAAACTTTCTGTTTTCTATTTGTAACAGAATTTCAGGGTTTGCACTGCAATTAAATTGCACAAATATGTTCAAGAATGTATTATTTTAATTAAATTTAGAACCATTTCTAAGAATTAAATGAAAGTATAATTTTACTTTCTTGTTACACAGCACATGATTATGGTACTTTATACATTATGGTATAATCACATGCAGAGTAACAAAAACATTAAAAATAGAGCATTCCTATTTAAATATTTGGTTTGATAGTTTTCCTGTATTATATACTATTATATGATTAATATTTAAGTGTTGTAATATTTCCATGCATTAGTATATAAATAGTTGCTGTTTTTCCATACATACATCTCTCAAACCTGTTTTAGCTCATATATACACATATCACCTCACTGTGGCCCACTGCCCATAGCTTCCCTATGCAAGACTAGCATGCCTCTGCCCTGGTCAACATTTGCTCAGTCAAAAATCTGCTGGGGTCAAGCATATTCATTTATTAAAAAAAAAAGTCCATACGGTTTGGACCTCAGAAGGAAACAATCACCATAATTAAAAGGGTAAATATATATTATTCTAGAGGCAATGGTGAAGAATTCTTGACAACCACAGTTTTAGATTTTAGAACATAATTAAAAAATATGTAAACCATGTATTACTTTTGATACTCAAAGTACACGACTGTGTAAGGAAGAGAAAGTTTCAAATAACTGTGCAAATTAAAAATAAAGAATTTTCAATTTCAATGAGCATTAAAAATCACATTATTAATCTAAATAATACACTCAAAGTATTTTTTTTCAATCTGTTTCATGGAAAGTTAAAAAATTCTTGAAAGGAAAACTGCACCTGTTTTTATGGTAACCTTTAACTGTGGTAAGACCCTCTCCAATTCGAGTTTCCAATTCTCCATATCAGTGTTGGATTCCAAAATTTCTTCAGGCTTCTGAGACTCTTGCATACCCTGTTCAAAAATATACTTACAGTTATTTGCAATTGTACCATAAGATTAAACAATTAGTACTAAAAGATAAGAATTCACAAATGAAAATCAGAATTGTTATGTATGAACCATTATAAAGAAAAGAATTTCTAAAATTTGTAGTAACTTCTTGGCTGTTCATGTGACACTGCATCATTGGCTGAGAGGCCGTCGTTGGTCTGTCACCTAGCAATGCTCCGTCACCCAGACAGCCAAAAAGTCATAATCTCGAGCCGTGGAAGCTAAGGTGTACAAAATTTGTAGTGTTTAATGCAAACATTGTGGCAAACTCTATCACTTTTTCTCCACAAAAAAAAAGTGAAAAGTAAAACTTGGAATTTTACAGAGCAACATCCAAAAATATTGTTGTGGAACTTCTAAATCTTTTTGGTTTTGAGATAGAAATAATGTTTTGGGTTACTAAATTGAATATTACATTATCTTTTTATTTGAAATATTACTGAAAATGGATTTATGTACTATTTTTACTACCTTCCTTCCAAATGGCAGTGTTTGAAGATCATCAATATGAAGCAAATTTTCTTCCTCTTCATCAGAATATGCAGCAGCCATTTCCTCTTCTACTTTTTCTAATATTAATTCAGATTCATCTTCTATCACTCCTTCATCATCCTCTAATTCAGGGGGTGGTTTTGGTCTAAATGAATTTTATAATTTGATCTTTAATTTGCAATAGCTTGAGAATATCATTTTATTTTAATTATCAAGTAAATCAGCAACAAAAAAGAAATTGAGAATTGATAAAAGTAAATTACAATCAAAATTAGTTGTTCAAGATTTGATCAATATGAAATTCCTCAACCTACACCCAAATGATTTTCATATTGTCAAACACACAATTTGGAACAAATTATGGAATGAAGTACAATACATATTGGGATGAAAGATGATGGTGAACAAATGAGATGACACTTGTTGGTCAATAATTATTAGCCCAAATGGTGTTTGTCATAAGAAACAAAGACTAGAAATGAGAAACATTGAATGTTTAATACTCACTCACTAACTGGGCATATTTAATGTTTGAAGGAACAGATAACTGAAGGAACATACACACATTCTACATCCAACGAAGACATTTGGAACAACAAGGATATCTTTTTGATAGTTTTCCTGAGATCAAACACTTCATTCATAACAATTCAATGATCTTATATGTAATACAAATTAGGGTCAAGGATGATGATCAACAACATTAATTAACACACACTTTGTTGGTTAATAGTTGGATCAGATGGGTTTGTCATGAGAAACAATTGTTGCCAAGATAAGGTAATCTTGAGCATCTCACTTTAATGCTGAAAATGAATGTGTCATGAAGTGAAAATTTCATCTCACTAGGATATGAACCCAGAACTTTCTGTTATACTAGCAGATGCTCCAACAATCAATTTTCAGAACTGAAATTAAATTTGGGCACATGTCTTAAAAGAAAAAAGTGCTTACTTTTGCCATGAGAAGCCAGTACTTTGTATAGCTGCATCCACAAGTGTGTCAAGTACAGTTACTGCATGTTCACCATAGCCTTGTTTTAATTTACTAGGAGGAAAGTCCACAGATCTTCCCTGTAACAACCATAAAATGTCAATTCACTTCAGTGGCCAATACCTACAACAGCTATTTTAAGTGAGGCAATTGCTATTAAAAACAGCTCATTCCTTTATTTGCCAAAATTAACTTTCTTGCATTTTTGCTAACTTTTAAAGGTCCTTTATCAGCTCACAAAAGGATGTAGTCCAATTTTAAATGATTCTCTTCTAACACATGGCAAGAACATATCCCATACAATTGTGGATGTTAAATAACTTTTTATTCACAGGTAAAATCTTCACAACTGAAATGAGTTTCTTTTTGATAGCAGATACCTCAAATGTAAATAAATTCACTTAATAGTTAAAGAGTAATGTTGATCAATAAATAATCTTGTACTTTGACTCCACAATCTACGAAAGTACACCTCTCACCAACTGTCGAACTGCATCCAAAATGCTAGAAATAGTTGAATTTGGATCATCATATTCTTGAGGCTGTTCAAACTGCTTTCCTGTCAAGCGAATTAACCAAGCAGCTAAAGATGTAAATATGAAAAATTGTTCACCAGGATTAGTCTGAATAGCAAAATAATGCCTGAAACAATAAAAGTATGACAAATATAACTACAATGCCTAACTCATCCATTGGCAAGTTCATGAAAGCATTTAAATGATTAGAAAGAAATTCTGAATTGACTATACCTATGTATGGGTTTCATCATCAAACTTTTAACAAACTCTGTGTCATAATTCAATAATTTCAACTTGTCAAGCAAATTTTCCATCATCACGAAAGTTGAATATGCTTGACCTGGACCAGCGTCCGAATCATCAGCCATTTCAACGCTTTCTTTAGAACGATCATCTCTTGACATAGTCTCTGATCTGTTTACCTGCGCGATTTGTCAACACAGGCATGCGGGCACCTGGCGCACGCGATGAGTGTAGCCAACCCCTTCTTTGGGATCAACAGAAATCAATAAGTATTGTTGTAGGTTGTGACCAATGATGCAATAAATTCACAAACCCTATTCTATTAAACGAATTAGATAGCACTTTCAACATTTTTTTGATCACATTACTGAAAAGTTACGATAACGAACTCCATCATAATATTCTTGAAGTGACGGGAGTTAGGTAGTTATAATTGGCAACACTGTGTCATGTCAACAGGGCATACGAATATCGCCCGCGAAGTTGACCGCCGATTTTCGTTTATTTCACATCTTAGGATATAAATTATCGTGTACCATTCTGAAACTTGAGAAATATGGTTAGTTAGATATGATAAGAAGAAAAGATATGTTAGATTCGCTGAAAGAATGTTAAGAAGTTAAGTTATATTTTTGTTTTATAACAAAAAGGAAAATCTAGAAAGGCGAAGAAGTGTAGGGCCGGTCTTACCTCTGTAATATTAAATTTATACCAGTGGCGGACCCGGAAGGGGTATGATTCTAGCTTGGGAGGGGTTGGATCTGGGTTGGATGCCATTGGGGGAACAGATGAAACGGTTAGGGCGGATGGAAGGGGAAGGGGGCTGACAAGGCAGAACGAGCCATAAACAT